CCAGATAGATTAGGAGGACAAGCAGAGGACATGGTTTCTGGGAAAGCACTCTGATAGGATTTAGCATGGGCAACATTGGAGACTGATGGAAAGCCAGGAGATGGGGAAAAAAGAGGCAGGGGTGAACTGCTTGAGCCTGGAAGTGTCATCAGGGACCATCATCATGAAAGCTTTTTTAGCCATATCATGGAATATGCCTTTATATTCTATGACAATTAAAAATATTAGGTTTTTTTTTTTTTTCAATGGGAGGATTGTTGTTAGTTACATCTATAGTTAGCCAGGGGCTAACCTATATGTAGGTATGTAGACCAGTTGTACATTTTCAGTAGAAAGATATGATAATGGGACCTAAGGGTGAAAGCATGAGGGGTAGATAGTTTCTTAAAAGTGAATGGATTCAAGAGATAGAAAGGAGGTAAAATTGGCATATCATCTTCTGTGATATTTATTTGAAGACCATCAGGAAGTATCAAACACTAGAAGAACATGTTTGCAAGGACATATTCTAAGTTCAGTGTTGGACATGTTGAGCTTGAGATGTCTTGGGATATCACAGAAGAGAACAGGCATCCACAAGACCATGGGAGTGGAGTTTGTCAAAAAGAACTGGGGTTTGATATAAAGTTATGGCTCGTTTTCACATTCATGGGTCTGGAGATGGATGTGATTTCTTAAAGAAAGATTTTTGAGTGGTAGAAAAGAATGCTAGGACCAAAGTCTTGAAGAAATCAGACCCATAATGGTTCAACAGCAAAGGGTTACCCCAGTAAGGATGAGGGGAGGAGCAGCAAAAGTAATGGAAGGAAACCCAGGAGATTGATGGGTCATGGTGGGGTAAAGATTTCAGGAAGGTGGGAGTGATCATCAGCTAAATTTAAGGAAAATGACAGAAATTTGGGGTATTTTGGATTTGGTTTTGTTTGGGGCTTGTTTTTATTTGTTTTTGAGGAAAGATGGAGAATACTGATGGAGAGAGCATTGTTTTTCAAATAAAATAAAGATCAATTGCTAATGATATGTACTAGAAATGTAGTTGTGATTGATTCTGTCTGATCAGAAGAGTTCAAGAATAGTTTTTGAGTTCATATTTTGCATTTATCTGAAAAAGATACTTGGGGAACAGGCATGATAGAGAAACTCATGTTAACATGTCCATTACCACTAAAATGAAAATAGAACTGGGTGGAGTTTGAGCATAGAACAGTCTGAGGTCCTAGGAGTATGGACTGAAAAGAACATTTACATTTGTATACCAGGAAATTCTATGAGTACAGCCCCACCTGCTTGGCCACTAGTAGCACTTTTGTGGACAGGACAAATAAACCAAAGTTCCACCAGACATTGTTGACTCACTTCTGCACTGGCTGGCATTGCTGTGTAAAAGTAGCCTGTGAGCTGAGATGTTATAGTGCACATGCTCAGTGATTTCTGTAAGGTGAGCTACAGCCTCAATCTCCTTCTCAGTTCCTGTTGCACACAGAAGTTTGAAGCAGAGTGAAAGCCACTAACCCAGAATAATGAGCAAAGTCATAACGCAAATGTTAGACTGAAGTGGTGGGAGTGACAAAAGGGAGATCAGAAAAGAAAGCAAAGCATTGGTCATTATTTGCAATAGCTTAGTCATGCAATGGAAGTAAGAGATTGAGGGGCAGCCAGAAAGATAAGCGATTAAGTTTTTATTCAATCAACAAATATTAGGCTATCTTACATTGCCAGGTTCAGGGATAAGCCCCAAGAAAGACACTGTCTATCTCTCATGGGAGATCCAACATTAGATGTATTTAATGCCGTGAGATCTGTTTATGGGGTGATCTTAAATGTGTTTTGTGATCTGTTTTGTCAAAATAAATGCAACATTTTTTTCTCAGATGTGTACATCGCTTGATATATATAAAATGATCAAATAAACTTGTGTTTAAAAGAGAAAGAAAAAAAGTAAAACATTCACCTATACTTTTTCCTCATCCTTTCTCTCCTTCCATTTTAAAAAAATATATATTTATTTTATTTATTATTATTATTAGTAGTAATTTTTATTTTATTTATTATTTTGGGTCTTTTAAATTTGGATGGCCTTACTATTCTCTGTGGTTCAGACAATACTTTCTAAAATTTTGTCTTTAACCTTATGTTCAGAACTATTCATGTTACTATCTTTCCCACCTCCAGGCAGCTTCTCATGTTAGTATCTGACTTTTAAAAATCATTTAGTCAACTATTATTTATAGAGCATCCACAATGCTTATGCATTGAATATTACCTCATAAAATTTAGAAATGTGAATCAACCAAGTTTCCCTAGTCAAGTAATAAACTTCCTGAGCGCAAGTATACTACTGAATGTTCAGCTATCTAAAATAAAACTAGAGTATCATAAATGTGATTTTCAGAGTAAGGATACAGTGGTTTTCATAGTAAGAATACAGGTAAGGACCTTTGGTTTATAGGGGAGGATACAATGAAACAAAAATTAAGGAAGATCCCAGAAAGAGGTATATCTGAACTGGGGATTAAAAGACAAGAATGTCAAACAACTGAAAGCTGCTAATCAATGTCTGGAAGGCAAGAAATAATTTTGGGGTGCACAGGTATCAGTGCAAGGAGATAGTTCAGTATGGCTAGAGAGGTCATATGGGTAAAGTGGTTAATATATTGATCTCAGATCTTGGAAAACTGTTAAAAGTGTTGGACTTGAGCCATGGGGATCTGTTGGAGAGTTATTAGAATTCTCAAGCAGAAGCAGAAGTGTGTAGGTTAGGAAGAAAACTGGGAACACCCAGAAAGCTGAGAAATGATGAAGATGGGAAACAGAGAGCACAACAGAGGGAGGATTTACCTAATGGGAGATGATGGATGGTGCATGGGTTTCTGACATGTAAATAGAGATTTCTGTGTTCAGATGGCCATAATCAATTGGATATGTGCATTATGGGGAGGTACAATATTGGAAAGGGAGAATGAAGATCATATAAGACCTTTGCTGGGGACTGAGATGAAGCTATTAATTTTAGACAAGAAAAGCAAATTCAGAAGAGGATGGAGATGAGGATCTAGTCCTCATCTAGTCTTCATTTGATGCTCAGACAAGCATCAAAAAATATGAAGGATGCTTTGATATGAATGAAATTACTGTCAAGCAGCGAATCCTATTTAAGGCCCAAATTTAGACAAGGAAAAAAGAAAAGCCAGAAGAGGAAAATTCAGGGGAGTTTCCTGGGAGATGGGAAGTGAGATTTTATGGAAACCAAGGAAAACATGAATTTCAGGGAAGAGGCCCTATGCTGTAATTTGTTTCATTGATAAAAGCATTTAGTTTTATCTCCTTCCTTTCTCTTCCTTTCCCCTTTAGAAGGCTCCATCAAATGGACTGTGCAGCTGTCAGTACTGTCTTATATCTGGTCCACACCTCACCTTTTTAGCTCTACTCCTTATTTTCTAAAGAGCAGCAACTGACCTAGAGTCACTGGCAATCAATGACTTCCTTCAGAGACCCTTCCTCAGTATTGAGAAAATGACTTAAGAAGCTCCTTGTGTATTTGTTAGAGAAGCACAAAGAGAAAGGAGAGCTAAATGATTTGCTAATCGGGTGTTATTGGGCATATGAGTGTGGGGTGGGGGGTGCCAGGGATTGAACCTAGGGACACTTAACCACTGAGCCACATCCCCAGTGCTTTTTATATTTTATTTAGAGCCAGGGTGCTTAGGGCCTCACTAAGTTTCTGAGGCTGGCTTTGAACTTAAAATCCTCCTGTCTCAGCCTTCCAAGTTATTGGGATTATAGGAGTGTGCCACTGCTCAGGGCTGGGTTTATATTTAGGATTTCCCTGATCTAAGCTTCTGGTTCATCTCTAGAAATAATACAATTTTTGCAGAAATAATAACCATCTCCATATAAAAGTGCTGTTTTGCTTTTCAATTTTCATGCTTAGTCCAACCTAGTAATAAAATAGTTTGTTTTATCTCAATACCCCATATTATTTTTTATATGAAAAATTTCTCTATACATTTTATATAGGAGGATAAATACTTGATTTCTTTGCAGGAAGCAATGTGTTTTCAACTTAAGAGTAGGGGTTATAAGACAAACTGTTTTCCTTTTATCTAAAGTACTAAGAAATTCAAATACAAGTTATACTTCAGCCACTTTTACTGTGTTGACCAAAACAGGTTACATATGTATGCTTCCTCCTTTTTTATTCACGACACTATTTTCTTATTTTATTCATATTTCTTTAATTTTGTTTTGGAAGCCACCTCAAATCCTTAAATAGGTTATAAACAAATTAACTACTGTTAAAAGAAAAACAAAGCAGCTGAATTTAAACAAGTTTACTTAAGCAAAAAAGAAAAAGTTTGAGAATCAGGTAGCATCCAAGACCAATGAGGCTTCAGAATGCTCTATCCCACCACAGGGGACAGGTTATATTTATAACCAGAAAGAGAAATGATATACAGAAACAATCTGATTGGCTGCAAATTGGCACCTTTCTGCCTGTGACTGACTGGAGGTTCAACAGCTGTGATTGATCAAGACTCAGTTGCTTCATTACAAGGGTAAAGGCTTAGATGGGGTTGGAGTTTGTTTACAACCCAAGTCAAGGTACAGTTCCACTATGTACAGAGGCTGCTTTAAGCTATACTTATGTTGAAGTACAGAGGCTGATTTAGGCCACACTTGTTTTGGTCCAACAGTACTTTATTATTGACTGAATATCTTTCCACACACCATCTCATTTGATGGTCAGAACAGTCTCAGAGTTGGGGGAGTTGAGCCTCCTGGGAGTTGGGTTCAATTCCAGGTCTTCTGTCTCTAAAGGTGGTAGTCATTTCAGCCTTTCTTGATTCTACTTTTATCACAGCTGGGAGAGTTGTAAGCGGCACGTGACTTGCTGGGGTAGTTCTTGTTCTGATGAGAAATAATCATTAACGTAAGAAACATATTGTTTGAGCGGTTTTCTTCTTGATGTGAAACATCCCATGCTTGTGTCTCCTTCTTAGGTTTTACAACAATAGAAGAGCACATGAAAGAGGGCTCTTCATCAGGCATTCTTGATTAAGCTATGAAAATGGAATCAAAGCTTATTTTCCCCGTTCGTATGGTAAGTAACTACTAATTTGAGAAACAGTTGGCTTTTCCCTGTTCATGATTTTCTTACAATATTTAACAAAGAAATAGAAATGCTTCTTGTGCAAAGATGGCATGACATGAATAATATCCAGATTTGTCTTCAGAATGTTATGTTAAAAAACACAGATAGATACTCAATTTTTTAATTCAATGGTGGGTTTTATAAATCCTAGTTGAATGTGTTTTATCTGGTTTAGAATTTGAACCATTTGACATACATACAAGTTTTGATCATTAAAATAATATAACTCTTCTACACATTTTTTCCACACTCAAAATTCCTTAGCGAGTAGCATTTTGTGCAGAACATTGACATGTGGGCTCTGAAAAGTCATGGCCACATACAAGGAAGATTTAGAAATGGCCAGATTGCTGTGCAGTGGCATTTCTCTTCTTCCCAGATGCCCTAGCTTGGAGCATCCGCCCCTCTTGGCCTCAGCACTGACTGTCTTTAATTGGAAAAACTTATTATCGCTCCGTAAGTGATTAGAACTAGAATCATCCCAAGTGAGTGAAATCTGCTTTTGAAGAAAGGGCTGCATTATTGAGGTTTTTCCCCAGGATATTGTACTGAGAGGACTTGAAATGATTTGAAATAGACAGTTTACTTTCTTTTGTCTACCCTTAAAATCATTTGTTATTTTTATTCTTTATTGTATTTCATTTTTTATATGTGTATGTGTTCCAATGCATTTTTAAAAGAGTAACTCTTCATATGTATCTGTGAATATTGTGAAATTTCATTTATTTCAATGAATTGGGGGGGAGAGCATTTCTGAATTTGTTGGAAGGCTGAATTATAGATAACTTTTAAACAAATGTGGCTTTTATTACCTTTAACTACATAGAGTAACTTCAACAAAGCATTACAAAGTAGAAGTCCTTAAGGAGACCTGTTATAATAAATCATATGAACATTTTGTCATTAGCATATAGATTGGATGTATGTAGAAGCTTGTAAAGTGCCCGAGGTTCCTTGAAAATTGTTTATTCTGTGTCTAAAAAGTGTACATAAGACTAAAAATAAATGTTTAAAATACCATATATTATCCATTTATAAATAAAGTATTTGCAAAGTAAAGGTAAACTTCAGCCCAGTTCATGAACAAATTATCAGAAGATTTTAAATTTGTCAAAGCTCCAAATTAATGAGATATTACCAAGTGTGCATAAATAACTTGAAGAATAAAAATTGCTGATCCTTCTCTCATATGGGTATTTGTGCTAATGAATCAGGATCCTATTTACACTATTAGTCCCCGAAGTAATTGCTTATTTGAAGAAGTTCTGTCTTATGGGTTTTCAGTTAATTAAATCCATTTGCATTTTATGCACACATTTCAAATTCTCAAGTCCTAGTTTTCATAAGCCACATTCAAATATATTCATGTAATAATACCTTTCATTAAGGTACTAGTCTTTCATTTTTAAAGGAAATTTCAGAATAGCTATATGCATTAAACACTTAATGAAATCCTATCAGTATTTTAGAAAAGTCAACCCATTAAAGTTATGTTTTTAGTTTAACTTTTCTATTTGGGGAGGTGATTACTATGCTGAGCATACCTTCGATTTCTAATGTTTCATTTAGTCTAATTTATTCAATGAATTTTTTTTGCTTTGATTCTGCATGTCAGGTTTTAACTTCTAATAATTCCTTTAGAATTACAGCACTTATAATTTTTTAAGGTATGCGCACTTTAACTGATAGATCTTGCCTACCCAATTGAGAGATCACAAAAAAAAATGGAGCAATTTTTTTCTAATTCTAATGCTAAGGTACAGAGAATAATAATTCACAAAGTTAAAGATATTTTAAAGGGTATAGTTTCTAAATACTTGGCTGAGAATTTGTGGATGAAAGTATATATGTGATAAAAATTGAAAATGTCATCATTAGATTCAAACTATGAAAATATTTCAGTCTGACCTAACTTGTAAGCTTGAAAAATATCTGAAGGTAGCAGGGTGGAAGAACAGAGGGACAAGCAGCAAACCAGGGAGCAGCCAGTAAACTACATGGTCTGTGCAGTGGACCCAGGGATGTTAATTCAAAGTGCATGGAAAGTCCAGGCACTGGGCAAGGCACAGGGTACAATTTAGGAACAGATTTAAAATCCAGTTTTGATTTCATGCCTAACTAAACTATATCTAAGTAGTTATTGGGTGTCAATCTAGTTCAGAGTTTATTTAGGTGTACTGGAGAATGTATCTAGTATATTCCTCCTTGCAAGGAAGACAGAAAAAGCAGAATCTGGATATATTTAGGTGCAAACTCCAGCCTAACATTACGTCTGAATCAATAAAGGTTGTAGTAGCCAAGTGGAAAAAGAAGAAAGAAATGATCCCCTAAAATCAGAAAATTATGAGAGTTACTTTGTTCTTTGCAGTATGGACAATCTACTCTTATAAATATACTTTTATCATGTTAACATAGGATTATACTATAGGCATGAAAAGAAAAATAATTTTTGATACCCTGAAAAACTCACATCTTAAAATAAACAAATTTTATTCAATTAAATCTTATTGATTCATTTAACCAATGATCTATGTAAAGGGTAATACCAGTAGTCTCCTAAGAAGATATAATTTTCTTTGTTGCTGGAATTGCCCTAAGGAAGCCTTTCTTCTCATTTAGAGAAAGTAGGGATAAAGCACTTGTATTACCATCTGTATAAATTTTTAATACTGAATAAAATATTAGTGTTTAGCTTAATATTGATTCTTAGCATAATATTCCTCCATAATGGCATGCTAATTGGTTAGAATTAAATCAGACAGATTCAAGAACCCTGAGAATAGACCATCTAACACTTGTAATTTTTTTTCATTAGTTTCCAGAATTCCAATTAAAATGGAATTAATCTGTTGAATAAAAGACCATGCATGGTACAATAAAATTTCTGTGCATTATGTCATATGCACCTCCTTCCCTCCCACTGCTTCATCCTGTTGATGAGATACAGGAGTGGAGGGAGATAGGAAGGGGGAAAGAATACACATGAAAATCACATATGAATGTTGAACACAGTATAACAGTGTTCAGGAGTGAGGCAGTCTATATGCATTGAGCCCTGAGACCTAAGGCATTTTACTTAAACTCCTTGGAGCCACAGTTTCCTCATCAGTAATATTAGTGTTGACCTTCTAAAGTTGCTGAGGAAATAAAGCAGAAGTTTTTAACGGGAGAGTTTCAGATAATTTTGTCCTCCAGAGATACATAGTAATGGCTGTCACAATTAAAGAAGATAGATATGCTACTGGCATCGGTGAACAGAGGCTGCTAAGCATCCTTAGCGCCTCTCCACAAAGAGCCATCAGACCCAAAAGATCAAAAGTGTACGGGTTGGGAATCCCTGAAGTCAAGTCAAGTCTATGTAATGAACACAGGGCCTGAAACACAGTAAACCCGCAACAAATTAATATTTACAATGGCATTGTTGTTGTTATGCATTTGAGAAGAAATACCAAATCAACAATAAAAGTTCTGTGCATTATGTCATATGCACCTCCTTCCCTCCCATTGCCAATCACCTATCTAGTCCTAGTACTGAGTGCTATATAAACAATTTAGTAAACCCTCCCAGTAGTTAGTCATGCCTGTCTGCCAACTCATCTGCTCAGGTAGACAATTTTTAGGTGCCTTTATGAGTACACTGACCCATTTAATGCTTAGCTAGAATAGCAGTCCAAAGACAGGATGTACCAAAGTTAATGGGCCACCATTTAATTTGTATCTTTGCAGAAATTAGAAGAAAATAGGAAAAGTCAAACAAAAAGTAACTTACATTACCGGATGACTGTTACTTTTTAACTTCTTCTGTTAATAATGCATCAGGAGTCTCCTGCTGATGATCATGTTTTTGTTTTATAAAATAAACTGATGTTTGGACGAATGGCTAGGAAATATGGTCTTCTGATTATTATGAGATCCTGATTAACTGGTTATATGGTACATGAATACTGTCAATTTCAAAACAAGTTGAATACAACAAAAGGGTTTTGACTTAATGTTAAGACTATTTTAAGGGGAGAAAATTCTTGCTTAACTCAAGAGTTTTGAAATCAAAAGACCTGAGTTTGCATTTTCAGCTTTATAAACTTTAAGCTATGTGACCTTGTTACCTAACTTCTCTGAGCTCACTTTCCTCATATGTTTAATGAGCATTGGATTACCTCATTGGGTTGTTGAGACAATTAAATGACACATAAAATACTTGGCATACGTTGTCAGTAAGTAAATGGTAGCAGTTATTATTTTCGTCATTATTATTTCTTTGACTCAAAAGTAATTCTTTTCAGGACTTTGAGTTTATTATCATGGACTTCTTTTCTCATTGTAAACTATGATGCTTTAGGTACTTCTTATTAACAAAAGAAGCTCAAATTATATCCATTACCTCAAGAAACAAAAATCTTAGACTCAATTCAATAAAATTGATTTATGAAGAAAAAAAAGAAAACTCACATATTAAACATAGAATTTCCCACTGAGAATTTTTTTAAGGAAATGGTAGATTTTCAAAATTAAAGAATAAATGATGTACACATCTTTCTGGTGTATTTTAATATAGGCGATAATCCCCTTTTTAATTAGCCACCTAATTATAACTCAATAGAAATTTCCCTGGGTAATTGTAGTAACCTACTTCAGAGAGGGAAGTGGCACCAAGCGGGCACTCCTACTGTGCATTTTGACACGTTTTTAGCTTCCATTTGTTCTAAATCTAAACAGACTGGGAGAGATGGGAGAAGGTTCTGATTTATAACCTAATCATTACAACTGCCAGGAAGGTTGAGTATAAGGCTGAACTCACCTTTCATCTGTTTTTATTTTTCTATTTTCTTTGTTCCCTAGAAAAGACTCAACATTTTTGTGTGCACCCATCATTCATGTGTTTTAAATTTGAAAATAAAAATATAATGAATCCAAGTTATGTCTCCCTTCATTGTTTTTGGTAGTTGTTT